TGGGCATATGTGCCATGTGTTGTGAGATAATGTCCTGTGTACCGTGTGCGAATATGAATACTATATGTGGTTGAAATGTGTGCGAAAGGGTATGTTAAATGCGGTTGTGAATATGCTATGAATGGTTTAGTCATACACTAGAGGTGTGGAATATAGGGATGAATATAGGGATGGTAGAAATGCCTTAGGGAAGAGAGGGTGGTGGTGACACCAACAATGAGCGTGGGTGCACCACAGGCAACACACTCTTCTCTTGACTAGACCTCTGACCAACACTTTTACTAAGCGACTCGTGACCGCACACATTGTATCTGTGAGGCGGGGGTAACCGACAACCATCCATTATGTTAAACTGTGATCACAGTGCCACAATGAGCGTGGCTAACGTGCAGTGAGCGCATGTGATTGTTGTTCATTAATTGTGTGATGGTGCAATGAGCGCACCAGTGTGTAAATTGAAATGAAATGATAATTGTGATTATGGCTACTTGATTTGAATTGTGTTAGAAAACATGTAAAATATGTAAGGTGAAACTCTATGCTTGCTTGTGTGTGTTGGATAGTGTAGTGTACTCACCCTTACATTTATTTTTTAGGTGACCAAGATGATCAGCACTAAACTCAGTGAAGGAATAGATGATACTGCTATAGGGCTTAGACAGTTTATTTTAAAATTTTGATGTAATTGAATTAGTCCTGTAGCAGTCACTTGATATAAATTTGTAAACCCTTATTATTTTGAAATACTTTGATGAAAACGTGTGTTGGAAAAATATATTTGAACGAAAATTTTATTTATCCCATTTTGTGAAATTTTTATTTTGAAATTAAATTTGAGGTGTTAAGAAGAGGTGGGGGAGGTATGAGTTGGAGGTTGGAGTTGGGGTTAGGAAAGAGGTGAGAAAGGGTAAAATATGGATTCATTTGCAATTAAGTAAAATATGTTTAGAAATTTATTTATAAATATTAATTTTAAATAATAAAATAATTAAATTGTGACATACCATATGGCGTCACATGGGAGTACTGAGCTGACTCTTTGTTAGCCAACTCAACACTTAACAGGAAATAGTTGACGGTAGAGTATAAATCTTAATTTCTTAATTTTTCAAGGACTAAATTCTAACAAAAAATTTTATAAGAACTTATTACAAAATGACCAATATTTATAAGGACAAAAAATATTTGGCCCTCGAGCAAAGGCAGAAGAGAGCTTGACTGCAAGACCCACCCGTCGAGCAAGGACGAAAGTTAGCCTTGGTGATTCGACGGTGCCGAGTGGAAGGGCCATCACTCAACGGATAAAAGTTACTCTAGGAATAACAGACTGATCTTTCCCAAGAGCTCACATCAACGGGAAGATTTGGCACCTCGATGTGGCTCTTCGCCACCTGAGCTGTAGTATGCTCCAAGGGTTGGGTTGTTCGCCTATTAAAGCAGCATGTGAGCTGGTTACGAACGTCGTGAGACAGTTTGTAATATTCTCTTTTCACTTTTTGGTAAATTATGTTTTGTTTAATATTAAGTAGTATTATAGTGCATTTAAAAGAGAGTATAGAGGATTTTTGTAAAGATTTACGTTAGTCCAAGATGGAAGATTTTTCTTAAGCCTATCATGTAAAGGTTTAATAATATTATTGAGGAAAGGAATAAAATCTCCTACGTAATTGAGAAATCCTAAAAACCTTTGTAGTTAGGTTTTATCTAGGATTCTTCTGTCTGAAAATTTATTAGCAAATTCAATAGGTCTGCTAATTAGAATAATCGTTCCTTGGTGAATATTATGACCAAGGAATCTAATGTTTGTTTGAAAGAGATTGATTTTTGATTTGAACACGGCAAGATCATTTTGTTTGACAACACTAACAAAAACATTTATATGCTTGAAATGCTGATCAATGGACTGAGAAAATATCAAAACATCATCAATATAAATAGTGACAAATTTGAAATAAGGATTAAAAATATCATTAATGATCTTCTGAAATTTAGTAAGAGCATTTTTAAGACCAAAGGGCATTACATTCCATTCGTATTGTTCAAAGGGAACAGTAAAGACAGTTTTGTACCTATCAATTTCATTAATCTGGATTTGCTAGAATCCATACTTCATATCAAATTTGGAGAAGATCTTAGCAAAGTTGAGCCTATTAAGAAGGTCTTTCTTATTTGGCATAGGATACCTAATCCATTAAAAAGCTTGATTAAGAGACTTATAGTTGATAATTAACCTGGAGTTCCACTTTCTAATTTTGCCTGTTTATTAACATAAAATGCAGAACAAAGATTAAAGATGGACAAATAGTCCAGAGTGGGCTGCCTCCATCAACTCAATACCAATTGCCTAAATTAAAAGATAATGGTGGCAATCCAGTAATAGTTACGCCATTCAAAACTAAAAATCTAGAAGAGTCTATATCTCCTAGTTATCCAAAGCCTTATGGAACAAGCCAATTATACCAATAAGTATCTCTAAGTCTTAGGAGACAAGATAAGTAAAGACAAGATCTCTGCTTTTCTCAATAAGCAGAAAGATGAAGAAGCATCTTCCTCTTCTCAAATTCAACTAGAAAAACCTTTTTTCAAATCATTCAATATTAGTGCCAATGTGAAACAAAAAATTCTAGAGCTTAGGCAGAATAGTAGACCCAGACCTATGAAGAAATAGAAGAAGCTAGCAAAATATTAAGTAAAATTAATAATTTGCTCAAAATTGTCTCAGAAACACCTCAATCCTCTAAAGAATTTAGTACTAAATCAAAAACTAGATTTCTTTCTAAAATTGTTATCATCAGTAATTTTAATTTAGAACAACTTTATGAAGTAGATTCAATTTCTAATCTAGCTATTAATATGGTTATTACTTCAAGTAAAAATTAGAAATTTAATATAAAACTAACATTGTCGCAAAAAGGCTTTGAAAGTCAACAAAAGCCAAACAAATAGAAAGTTTTCTTCATGAATTATTGCCATAGGACAAAAAATTTAAAAGAAGAGAGTTTTGAATACAAAACTTTCTCTTGGTAGAGATTTGAAGCCTTAGAAATCAAGAACACTAAAGCTTATAAGTAGTGACAACACGTGCACCACCTGAAATTAAGAGGACATTTTGTCATTTTCAAGGACATTTATCTTTTCATGCGTAAAAATATAAATTTTAAAAATTCTGAAAAATTTAGTATTTTAAAATATTTTTCATAATTTTTAATGTATTCTTACCAATTTTAAATAGTTTTTTAGCTTGTTTTTTACAAACCAAACTACAAATATATTTTATATTTTATAAAATAATTAAATTCCATAAATTTTTATAATTTATTTTACACTTCAAATACATTTTATTTTAATTTTTTTAAATTAGTGTCAATTAAAATAAATTTACAGTCTTTAGAACATAGTTCAGGGCCAAAATAGTCAATTCATCTCTGCCGTTGCAAAAGTTTGATTTAAAACAATCCAAAAATAGAATAATTATATAAAATCGTCTTAGCGGAATCAATTCCATCAAAACATATCATATTTTAAATAATTTTTTAAAATATTTTTGTCATAATATTATATATGAAGGAAATTAATAACTCAGGTGACAACAATTATGAGAATGAGAACAATAAAAGTTATGTGTTATTTTTTTTTTAAAATTCTACTAACCACTCGAAAGAAGTGCTCATTATAATTTTTTTTTTTTCAATTATCTTTAATTTATCACTATATTCACTTTTATTATCTTTTAATGTTCTTAAACTTTTATATATATAAATTATTTATTTTTCTCTTATTATTAATTTTTTTATATTTATTTAATAATTGAATTACTATGAATCAAATTTTTAATGTTTGAATAAATAATTTAGTATTTTTTAAAAAAAATAATATTCTATAGTATATATATCCTTAAGATAAATAAAATATATTAAATTTATAAAATAATATAGAATAAATAATTAATAATATAAAAAATTAATTTTTATATCTCACAAAGAACGTTGGTTTAAATTCGACTAACAAAGTCAGCATCTCTTTATTCTAAACGAGCCTTCTAAACTTTATTTTTTATTAAAAATAAAAATATCTATTTTAAAACCAAATACTCGTATATTAGAATAGCGAAGATTAATGGTTGCATGAAGTTGTTTTAATTTAATACTTATCTTTTAATATTTTTGTAATTTTAAAATTTAAGATAATTTGATAAATATTTAAATTAATTACTACAATTATAGATTTTATTTATTACTTATAAAATAGAAAATTTAGAAAATAAATAAGCAAATAAATAAAATTTAAATAACATTGATCATAAATATAAAAATTTATATGAGAGTATTATAATTAATATATATTTAATTTTTTTATTTAAAAAATTAATTTTTATCTAATCAAAAACATCTTTATTAAAAAAAAATTGATTTAAATTTGATAGGATCATTATGAATAACAAAGTTCTGATTTATATTAAACTCAAAAAAAAAAAAAAAAAAACATGTGTAAAAGAAGTAAGATACTCGCATTTTTCCGACAAATAAATATCATTTTCTGATTTTGATTGTGTTTTAATTCAGACATGGTTCTTTTTAAATAAAAATAAAATATGATGTTTTGATAAAAATATAATTTTTCTTAAAAAATTCAATAGTAATTTTTTACTTAAAATTTATTAATAACATTTTTTTATATTTTAATTTTTATTATTTTTTAAAAATCGTTATTAACAAATTTTGACTTTTTAAAATTTTCTATTATCTTTTAAAAATTATTATTTAGATTTCTTATATTTTAAAATTTTTTAATATATTTTTTAAAAATTACCAACACTTTATAATTTTTAATGGTTTTATCACTGAATCTTTGCATTTATAGCAAAAAGTGATTTTTAAACTCCATATTTTTATTTTCAAAAAGTATCACATATTTGTATTTAATTTAAAAAGCATATATAAAAAAATACTACTTCTGGCATAGATTTTTTTGGTTTTTCGTTTTCGTTAAGTTCAGATCTTTTGGAGGAGTCGATCTAAGTGCGGTTAACAGGACAACGCATCCAAAACGAGAGAGAAGAAGAGAGTGTGTTTGGGATTCGGAGAAAATGAAGACTGTACTTTCACCTTCAGCATCTCCACCAACTTTTTCCTCTCCTACGTTTTCCAAAACCTACGCTTCCAATTTCGCTGTTCTCTCTTCTTCTTCTTCTACCAAATCCACACGCATTGAACTTCCGTGCAGAGGGGCTTCACAGAAAACTGCACTTCGCTGCAACTGTAGCATCTGGCCTGGTGGCCCTGCATCTGGTAAAACACTTTTTTTCCTTCTTTTGCTTTTGAACTTTAAGGTTTTTCTTCTTTCTCTCTCTTTTGTTGCCATTAATGCTGATGGTGTTTTCTTCAACGATGTTAAAAGGATTTTTAAAAATCTTTTTTTTTTTATTTCACATTTGTGAAGGGCTTTTAATCGAGCATTGGAATTATGGTGACTGGGGAATTATAAGTATGTCAATTTTTTTAGTGTTTACATTCGCTTTGCTTCACTTTGTAAATTGGGTTTTCTCACTCTTTAATGATAAATTGATAAACCATTCTTAAGGATTTGCTTTATCGAAAAAATAGTTTATGGTTAGTGGTTTTCAGGTACCAAATTAGTCCTCTTAATTTGAATAATGCAGGTGATAGTGATAGCAGCAGCAGAAGTATTCTGGATGCATTTTTCTTGGGAAAAGCAGTAGCTGAAGCTCTAAACGAGCGCATCGAGTCCACAGTTGGTGAGTTTTTGGGTGCAGTTGGGAGATTGCAAGCTGAACAACAAAAGCAAGTGCAGGACTTTCAGGTAAGGAGCAGTTTGAACAAGTGTTTTCTTCTGCTGGATGAATGATATGAAGCAATATTGTTTTTTCATGACTATACAAACAATATTGTTGCCTATTATTTTGTGTCTAATTCTGTTAATTGTATAACTATAATCTACTTGATGATTTTATCTGGCCATATATTTCAGCGCTACATTTTGGTTAATCTTAGACTGTTAATAGTTGCTATAGGCAAACTTTTAGTATTGTATTTTTAATTTGAAATTTATATTACAGGTCATTTGTATCATATTATTCAAATAAAAATGTTCCAAAATTGCTTTTTTTTCCCCTAGACACTTTAGTCTACAATCAGTTTCATATTCTACGAAGGTTTGGTAGGCTATCCAGTTTAATTCCTGGGATGATTTTATACAGAAAGACAGATTGTAGGATAAAGCTAATGATCTAACTCCTTTTAATCTGGTTAGCTAATGACTTAAAAATTTAATGACAGCAGAAGCAAAAGTCTCAGGACAATTTATCAAATATACAGTACTTACAGTAGTTCAGGAAATGAATCTGACAATGGAAGTGGGAAACTTGGAACCAATTGAGATGCTGACTAACATGTGATTTAGAATGTCGTATTCTTTCTGAACTAAGAGAATGTGTGGCACGACTATATTCTCTAAAAGTTGAAGTTACAAGAAAAAGATGGAATGATTTAAAGAGGGGTCAATCTCTATTAGTTAGTCAGTTAGTTAGAAATGAGAAGATGACCAGGTATAAACAATAGGAAGGAAAGAATAGAGTGGAGATGTTCAAGTCTCTTGAATACATGAGGCATGGAGAAGAGATTCTTCTCATTTTACAATCGTGATCAGAACCTTTTATCAGATTGATACCAGTCAGAGGGCATTCTTTCTGTTTCTGTAATAAAGATTGGTTGTTATTCCCAAATTGTGGCCCAGTATCTATCAGTTTAACACTGGTGTCTTAACTGTCTATTCTTGTCAATAATTGATTACAGTGCAAGTTTTTAAGCAACGAACATTGGAGGTCACAAACTATTAAAGAGAAATCCTAGAGTCTATGTAGCTTAATCATATTATCTTCAAGGAAATTATAGATATGAATTAGAGTAGATTTTTGTGAGGAACCAATGGAGTATGCTTCAAACATTTGGATTGCTGATCAAGGACACTTTCGTGTTAGTAAAATGGGAATGAATAAAATGTTGAATAAATTATTCCATTAGAATTATCAATTGCTATTAAGAAAGAAACTACCTAAGGTTAGTCGGATTCATAAATTTTATGATTTGAAGTTGATCAATATTTTTGCATCCCACTTTCTAGCTTCCACCATTTTCACTGTGCATTTTTGTACATTTGGATGTTAAAAAAATGGAAAAGTGAGACATACAGTGTCGATTTTTAGTAGTTCAAACAGCAGAACTGTTAGAAAATATAATGCTCATGCAGGATGAAGTGTTGGAGAGAGCCAAAAAAGCGAAGGAGAAAGCAACGCGTGAAGCTATGGAGGCACAAGGACTCATTTCCAAGTCTGCAGTGGAGACAAAAGTAACTGATTCAGCTACTTCTAATGCATCAAATTTTGCAACGGGTCCATTAACTTCTGTTCAGTCCACTGATGCCTCTGAAACATATAATGGACGTGCCGAAGAGGAGGAACCTCCTTGGAGTTCATCAAACGATAACTGATCCATCCGTGTGTATTTTGCTTTTTGACTGATTTATACTCAGTTTGCTTTATGCCTTAAGTTTAAGCTTAATTAATTATGATTATTGTAGCTAATGAGAGTTAATTAAGGATAAGAATGTTTAGTAATATAATTTGACGAGAGTAGACAAATTTGTAAATGCTAGAAAATTAAAGGACTGAGTTGCAAATTTTTGAAAATTTGGCGGATGAACCCAAAAAATTAAATAAACGTTTAGGTTGCTGTAATCATATATGTATTGCGGATTAGGATGAGAATATTGAGGTTTTCTAAGTCTTGAGAAGTGTTTAAAAAAATTGTAGAGACTAAATAGGAAAAGTAGATGAAGGACCACTTAGCAATTTTATAAAATTTAATATAAGTTTCAGAATAATTTATTAAAGAATGAAATCGGGATTATTATTCTTATTGTTGTAGCTACTGCTGCTGTTTGGGTTTTTTTTTTATTCTTTGAATTTAACATAATTGTTATATACATTCTTAGATTTTTATTTTTTTTAAATTATCCCCCTTTCTTCTTTCCATTTATAACTATATATTATTTTCTTGCAAAGTAAATAAAGTATTATAAGAATCAATAAATAAGATAAAATAAAATAAAAGGAGTCTAGATGAAGGATTTGGTGTTTTAAAATAAGAATAAGTGTAAAGTAAGAAAGTAAAGTTTCTTTATTGTTAATTTGAATTTAGTTGTTTATAAAATACATGAATTCAAATTAGGGTGAATAGAGTTCCACTTTCTCACTTTACACTTTAGACGATGTAATTGGATATTTGCACCAGCTAAACTTTAACTTGCGGTTGATGCTCCATCATTACCTTAGGTCTCATACTAATTAATTATTTTAAAATTTTAAATCTTTAAACATTTGTTTTTATTAATTAACTATAATATAATTTCTATTTTCGAGATATTTTTATGAATTAATTTAATAATTAAGATCAAATTTTATAATTCAAATAATTAAGTATTTAATCATTTAAATTTTTTTAAACTATATTTTACTATGTTAATGTGTGATTTACATTGCTTTCAGTTTGATGAATAAGTTATAAGATATTTATATATAGATTATACTGTCTTAAATTTCTATAATATCAAATTTTATTTCAAAATATATACTTAAATACTTTTCATAAATTAAAATATTTTACTATTATACTCTTTTTGTAATAATTTGTAAAATAGTTATGTGATATTCCTTCACTTTCTATATATTTTTTTCTCGTAAGATACGTGTATAACCATATTACCTTATATTATAAACATGATAATTTTATAAAAATAATTTTAATCTTAAAATAAAATTTATTTTACTAAACTTAATTTAATCAACCAATTTCATAATATTTTAAATAGAACTCTATGACTTTGAGTTCTCCATTATACTTAGGGATACGTAAGATTGAGAATCAAACTTGTCAAGTCAAAAAATATTTTAAAATAATTTTTTCTTTCCTAAAATACAAATTAATATTTTAATACATAAATTTTTTTCCTTTAAAATAAAAGTAGCAACACTTATTGTTTAGGGATTAAATAAATATTTTTAAAATTAAAATAAATTCATACAATTAATTTAAAGTAGTTGTTATTTAAATAGATGTTGTAGGATGCTAATACCTTCTTTACATGTAAACAACTCTTGAACTTATTTTGGTTTCAAAAATTATAATGTTCTAAAAGTTTTCTCAAAATTTTTCTTTAATAAACTTTGGTGGTACTCTTCTGATTTTTAAAAAATATTTTTATTTATAATGACGTTTTTCTTTACACATTTTAACCCCTAATTGCAACACTAATACCTATCTCATTATTGTTACAATTAATTAAAAGAGATAAAAAATTTCAAGCAAATATAAGAGAACGATGTTTTTCTTTACACTTTTTAACCCCTAATTGAGACACTAATACCTATCTTATTATTGTTACAACTAATTAAAAGTGATAAAAAATTTCAAGCAAATATAAGAGGAGACCAATCTCATAATGCCCCTTTTTATTATTAATTTTTGGCTAAAAAATATTTTATATATATATATATATATATATATATAGAACCGTGCATGACAAACTCAAGAGTCAACACATAACACATGATCAAATCATGAGTTACGTGGCTACTGCATTCATGAATTGAATAAAATGAAGAAAGGAAAAAATAGGATAAGATAAAGCTGGGTGAACACTATGAGTACTACAAGAGCTCAAGAGAACTAGTTTAAGGAATATCTTCAACTAAGCTTCTCCAATAAATGGTTGTGATTCCTCTGAACAAAAGTAATCACCCAAAACCAACACCTTCAAATTTTATATCCTTTAATTTGTCCACCCTTCGACTATTTTTTATTTTATTTTATGCTTAATAGTCACTAGTAAAGAGTGAAAAAAGGTCCCCATTATTCAAAGTTGTTACTCCATAAGCCTTTTCCCTGATGTGGCTCCCCCTTCTTTTATACATGTTATTCTTAACATGTTTACATCCCTTTTCATTTACTCCTACACGCCATCCCATTTCTTATAAATTCATCCTAGATTAGATGTTTGCAAGTGGCAGAAGCTGTTAGATTATTTTAATAATCTTATTATAGTGGCCTATGTAACTTGTAGCATGATTCTAATTAATGATTTAATGTGATGGTGGTTAAATATAAAATATAGAGTCATTGAGGGTATAATTGTAAATATAATTATAAAGAAACTCTCCCCTGTCCCTTCATATAAAATTAAAGAGCAGTTACCAAATCGGGGTTACGACATTCTTTATTTTCACTTTCACGGTCTCTGAGTGAGCTCACGGTAAACACAAGAAAGGAACTTTCTCTCAACCATCTGAGAGGAGCTGAAAGAGGAAGGAAGAGCTGGAAAAAATACCAAAGGATCAACGATACCAAAGAGAGAGGTAACATCAAGGAATAATGGATTCAGGTTAGTACTCTCTAAACCTTTAATTGTATGAGAACCATATATTGTGTTGTGAGAGCAACGTAATTCAAGATCATAAAGGGAAAAGATAATTTCATAATAGTCATTGCATAATGGAAATTACATAATGGATGAAAGAAAATTCTAACAATTGGTATCAAAGTGTGATTGTGAATTTCGTTGATTCTCCATAAAAGATTAGTTCTCCGTTAAAGTTTTCCCAAATTACATGAACCTTGGGTATTTTTTATATGATGGATTGGCATTATTTTGATGTTGAATAATTGTTTTTGGATTCAATAATTGAAAACCCTAAGGTTTTGGAAGTTACAAACATTGGATTTTGAATCTGTAATATGAGCAGGGTCATATATTAGTGAGCAGGGTCATGCATCAGGAAGCAAGGCCACGCATCAGAAACAAGCACGACCATGCTTCATCAAAGCACGACCATGCATCAAGTCAATTAATTCTAATTTACATTATCATTATGAGAACTTCACAATTTAGTACTTAATTTTAAGGGTAGCTTGTTAGTCACCAAAGTGGCCTGGATTTAAAAGTTCTTTAAGCATTTAATTGTGTGTTATAAATTGTTCAAAATTGTTTGATGCTATATGGAAACAAAGAGTGAACAATTTAACTCATTAATTATAACGCTAGGAGATCGCGCAAACGTGGATCATTGCATATGATTAATGACACTAAGGAGACATGTAAGCACTTCATAATATGTTTGTATATCTAAAGATGACTTGCATATTGGTTTGAGTGACTGGTTATCAATTAAAGTTGTTTATTAGCATCATTATAGATAAATTGTGTATTTAGGCGTTACCCAAAGGTAAACTTAGATGCATAATTGATGACAATTGACTATCTGAATCCATTAAGTTTATTCAAAGCATAAATGTTTAAGCATGTGTTAAATATTTCAGTCTCTATGAATACGTATGGCATGAGCAATGGCGTAGTCAAGTTCAATGGGCTTAATTATAATGATTGGGCTGAACAAGTTCGATTCCAGCTAGGTATTATGGACTTAGACCTAGCAATCATTATGGAACAAGAGCTTGCATCCATCACAAAGACCAGTACTGAAGAGGAAAGGACTCTTCGTGAGGCTTGGGAAAGGTCAAATAGGCTGAGCTTGAGTTTGCTGAAGATGACTATGGCTGAAAATGTGAAGCCATCAATGCCAAAGACTGAAAATGTTAGGGAATTTATGGCAAAGGTAAAAGAGTATGCACAATTGGACATTACTGAAAATTCCATTACAGGCACCCTGTTGACTAAGCTAACTACTAAGAAGTTTGATTGGTCATGGCCCATTCATGACCATGTGACTGACATAATCAATCAAGTAGCAAAGTTGAAATCAATGGGCATGGAGGTAAAGGAATTCTTTCTAGTACAGTTCATTTTGAACTCCCTCCCTCCTGAGTTTGGTCAGTTCCAGGTGAATTATAACACCATTAAGGATAAATGGAACATACAGAAAATTAAGGCCATGCTAGTTCAGGAGGAAAGGAGGCTGAAGAAGGTGAAAGAACACTCCGTCCATCTCACATTTCATGAAGGGGCTAGTAGTAGCAAGGCTAAGCTAGGTAAGAAGGACAACAAGGACAAGAAGGATAAGGCCTTATTAAAGGTTCGTGAAGGTCGAATCTAGAAGGGCCAGAGGTGCTTCTTCTGCAAGAAGACTGGTCACTTCAAGAAAGATTATCCGAAGAGAAAGGTTTGGTTTGAAAGGAAAGGTATATATTATGTTTCAGTATGCTTTGAATCAAATCTTATTGAGGTACCTAAAAATACCTGGTGGTTAGATTTTGGTGCAACTACTCATGTGTCACATGTAATGCAGGGATTTCTTTCGATCCAGCCCATAAGCGGAACTGAAAAGTTCTTGTACATGGGAAACAGAATGAAGGTTTATATCATTTCAATCTTAATGTTAAATTTGCTGAATCTCTGTTTCATGTTGAGAATACTGTTAGTAGTAATTTGAATATGCGTAATAAATGCTCTACTTTCTTGTGACATCAAAGGTTAGGTCACATATCTAAAGAAAGGATGATGAGGTTAATGAAAAGTAAAATTTTACCTCAGTTAGATTTTGTTGACTGAGATGTATGTGTGGATTGTATTAAAGGAAAACAAACCAAACACACATCAAAGAATCCAGCCACAAGAAGCAGTCAACTCTTAGAGTTGATACACACTGATACTTGTGGTCCGTTTGTCATCC